GTGTAACAGTGATCCAATATATTACTGTCTCTGGTGGGACATGTGATGTGCTGTCTGTATTTTGGCAGTTCACGGGAAAGATTTGCTTTATTAAAGTCCCCGAGAATGATTAAAACAGAGTCCGGGTGTTGTTGTTCTGTGTCTGTGATCAGATCAGCGAGTTTCTGTAAAGCGGTGCTCACGTGTGCTTGCGGAGGAATGTACACACTTACGAGAATGAACGAGCAAAACTCCCGCGGCGAATAGAACGGCTTGCAATTAATGAAGAGCACTTCTAGATCTGAACAGCACATCTTCTTTAATACAGTTACATCTGTACACCACCTCTCATTGATGTAAAAGCATGTCCCGCCGCCACGTGCTTTCCCCGTTGATTCTGCGTCGCGATCTGCTCTAAACAGCTGAAAGCCCGGCAGACTCAACGCGCTGTCCGGAATCGTGTCTTTCAGCCAGGTTTCTAGAGCAGCAGAAGCAGCAGAGTTTGAAAAATCCTTATTTGTCCGGGAGAGCAGAAGAAGTTCGTCCGTTTTTGCCAGATGTGAGCGGAGATTCGCCAGATGGACGCTAGCCAACGCTGCGTGTCCTGAAGCGCTTGATCAGCGCCGCAGCTCCCCCGACTACAATGTTCAGCAAAACATCAGAATAATCGAAAACCGGTGAAATATCGGGTGGTGTGTACTTCCGAATGTCCAGCAATTCGTCTCTGGTGAAACTGATAGCAGGGATATAACTAAAGACAGGACAAACTAACAAAAACATCAAAACAACTGCGGAGCACGCCACGGAGGCAGCCATCAGCGTCGGCGCCATTTCAAATCCCTTTATTGTGTTCATTACAAATAAATTGATTATTAAAACTGCAAAAGCAGTTCAATCAGAGAAAAAGGTACTTATCTCAGAAAACATACAAATAAAGATAATTTTAGATGTTTCATTACTATTTGGAGCAGTGAGATCATTAGATGAGGGCTTAAAGGGTTAGTTCACCCAAAAATGAAAAAATTAGCCTGTGTTTTACTCACCCTCGAGGCATCCTAGATGTATATGACTTTCTTCTTTCAGATGAATCCAATCGGAGTTAGATTAAAAATTGTCCTGGTACTTCTAAGCTCTATCATTGCAGTCAGCGGGATTTCTGTTCAACAGTCCAAGAGACGTTAAATAAAATGTGCGCATCCATAATAAAACGTGCCTCACACAGTTCCGGGGGGTGAATAAAGGCCTCCTATAGCGAATCCATGCGTTTTTTAAAGAAAAAAATGCCTATTTCAAATGTAATAAACACTTTTCTCTCACTTCGGTTATCTTTCATACGAGGAAGCCGTTCCGACGGATGACGTAAGACGTATGCGCAGTGCTCGCGCCTCTGAGATGTGCTTTTGCCTGTGTGCATTCACACACATTCTGCCAGCTCAGGTCACGTACACAAGTGTGTGTGTTCAGGATTGGTGCTGTACAGCAAGGATTCATGGATCGAGTGGAATCTGAACACTCACAGCACTAAAGGAGCCGTGATTGACGCTGTGAAGAATCTGCCCTATAAAGGAGGAAACGCACTCACAGGTTCACACACACACACACACACACACACACACACAAAGCTTAGATCTAAATGACTTCATTCTCACACATCTGTTCATATGTGTGTGTGTGTGTGTGTGTGTTTTTTTCCAGGTCTGGCTCTGACGTATATTTTGGAGAACAGCTTCAAAGCTGAATCTGGATCCAGGCCTGACGTTCCTAAGATTGTGATTCTGATCACGGATGGGGAATCACAGGACGATGTTCTTTCTCCTGCTCAGAGACTCAGAGATGCTGGGATCGAACTGTTTGCTATCGGTACCAGAACAAAACCAGCTCTGACTTAAATACAGTCTTGTCAATACTTTAGTTAATAGTTTTCTGACTGTGTGAATCTGCAGGAGTGAAGAATGCGGATGAGAAAGAGCTGAGAGCCATCGCCTCCCCGCCGGAGGAGACACACGTGTATAACGTGGCTGATTATAGCTTTATGTTAGACATCGTGGAGGGACTCACCAGGAGCGTCTGCGAGCGTGTCTCTGAACTCAGCAGAGAGATCAGCGGTGCGTTTCTGAGATCTCTGTTATTTAATGAGCAGGCTCAATAGGTTTCTTCAGGAGATGGAGGTTAAGTTTCTCTTCTCTGTGTGTGTGTGTGTGTGTATGTGTATGTGTGTGTGTG